CCCCAAAACCCCAAAACCCCAAAACCCCAAAACCCCAAGATTTATATAAATATAGAACTCCTGTTTGAATTTAAATGGCAGAAACTATTCTTGATAAGCCTGTCCAAACTCTGAATGAGATTGAGCTCTTTGCATTCGAGACCAAGATTAGAAAGGATATCATGGACCTGATAAGACCTTCTATAGAGCAATCAAAGGAGCTTCAGTCGCATCTTCGACATGAAAATGATTATGTCAAGTAAGAATTAAGCTCTATAATTAATATGACCTGTTTTCTCACAAATATAGACTGAAGATTTCGGAATTTGAGAAGACTTTAGTAAGTCTCAACAAAAACAGCATCTTAAAAGGTAAGGCTTTCTTATAATTCCTAGAATTCAATGACCAAATTCTTGATTATACAATGGAGTCTGCTAAGAAGGAAGAGCATCTAAAGCACTTGTTTTCCAATACATCTGAAGAAATTGTGAATATAAAGCTGGACATTAAAAGGTGTAGAACAGAGAATGAGAACACTATTGAGCATATTAAATAAGCTCACTGATCATCTCAACACAGTTCATGAAAGCATTATAGCCAAGATTCCTCAGATTGACTTTCAGAATCAAATTCTTGAAGAGGAGAGATTGGCTTCTGACAAAAAGAAGCAGGCTCTTCCTCCTACTATCAGAATGGATTGTACTGATTGCAAGGCAATCCTGGCTGAAAGCCAGGATAGGCTTGACAAGTACTCCTCCATGTTTAGAGAGTACAAAGTGAAGGTTGACTCTCTCTTTGAGAATTCTATCCGAGAAGACAAGTCAGTTAGTTTAGATAATTTCTTTAGGTTTGATAATGAAATGAGTGAGCTTAAGGACACGGTAAATTAATCACATGGGGTTTATAATTTCGCTTAAATATCTAAAATTCTCACAACCAGGATAGATCACTCAAGTTAGATATGCAATGAAAGATCTAAACTTCAACATGGTGGCAATGGATACAGAGATTAAGGAAATCTCTAGGCTCAAGAACAAATATAGGCATTCAATGGCTAAATAGGATGGTTAATAACTTAGACAAACCTGCTAAGGACATAGGTATTCTTGGCTCTAACCCGTCATAGAAAATGAGGATGATATTATCCAAAGTGAAACAATGAAATTTGAGAAAATTGAGAAAATGAACTCATTTACTCTTTCACATAAACAGTCAGAGAAGCCCCAGAATGTGAAGGTAAGAGTGAATTTTGATGCACTCTAGCCAAACCTGACCTCAGCTAATTCATTAGACAATGTCTCCTCCAAGAGACCTGAGCAAGAAGGTGTCCTGAGCAAAGAGACCAGACGCTCAATGCTTGGTATGGGAGACCTTGTTAGCTTCGAAGATCTTGACTTTGATGTTGCCAAAGAAATAAAATTTTCTACTCAGTAATTTAATATTTTAACATAATAGCCAAATCAACAAAATTGAAGACAGATTAGAGCAGCTGTATGAAGAAATCAATTTTTGGAAACAAGAGAACAATAACTTCTCTAAAAAGTTAGTAAATGAAGCAAACCAGAACTGTGAAAGCAAAAATTTGGAAACGATTTCTCAGATTAAAACTACCCAAGGAGAGTTGAATGAGTTCATAATGCAACAAAATAAGGAAAAGATTGAATTCACTCGCGATATAAAAATACTTGAGTCAAAATTAGAAGAACTAGAGTATTTTCAGCAGAGCCATAAAACTCTACTAGCAGAGACTATCAAAAATGTTGAGACCTTGGAAACCAAGGATCCTAAGAGAGACTCAGTATCTAGCAATCAGTTTAGAGGACCGAGTCGGAATACAAAGTACTTACTTTCTAATTTTCTTAGGAATAAATTTCAGACATTAGAATTTAGCCCCCATAATTTTAGCACAGTTACTCAGAGCATTAAATCTTCTCAGCATAAGAAGCAGGTAACTACAGAAACTTCTCTTTAGACAAGTGAAAATTTGAACCAGACCTTGACTAAGAGAAGCAAGAAGGCTCCTAATATCAATAGTAAGGCATCAGTTATAGTATTTTGGTTGGAAAGACAGCCTAAAGTGGGCAAGTTAGAATCTACTGTCTTCGCTTCAATAATTAGGGTTAACCCATATTTTAGCCTCTGGTGGGTTTAGAATAATGACTAAGATCAATCACAGAAGAAATTTCTCAGACGGCACAAACATGCTTAAGAGTAAGAACATGGCCAATATTCTTTCACAAATGCCCAAAATGTAGCTAAAAGAGTACCAAACTTCCAAATCTCTTACAATGTATGATAATTTTTGGGGCTGGGTGTTCAACTATTGCTGATATTTATGGGGTTTTGGGGTTTTGGGGTTTTGGGGTTTTGGGGTTTTGGGGTTTTGGGG